AAAATAACCCACAGAAGAAACAGACAAAGGACATGAATGGCAATTCACAGCAGAAACCAGGACAGCCAATAAACAAGAGTAGAGATTCCTGACTGGGCTCGGTTGGCTCAGCCTGTAATCCCAGCACTTTGGGAACCCACGGGCTCGAAACCTACCCAGGCAACTTGGCGAGACCTCGTCTCTACAATAAATAGAAAAGTAGTCAGGCATGGTAGCATGTGCCTGTAGTTCTGGCTACTTGGAAGGCTGAGGAGGAAGGATTGCCGGAGCCCAGCAAGTCGAGGCTGCAGTGGCTGCTTCCGGCCACCGCACTCCAGTCTGGGCGACAGAGTGAGACTCCAACTCAAAACAAACAAACAAACAACAACAACAAAACATGTGTAGAGATTCCTCTAGAAACTAGGAAAATACAAGTTAAAATCACAATTAGATTGAAGAAAAATGTTAAAGTCTGATGGTACCAAGGAAAGAGGAAGATGCAGTGTCATGGACACTCATACATGCTTAGAGCCAATCCCACCACTGGGGAGGACAATTTGGAGATAGCTGGTAAAGCTGAAGGAACAAATAGCCCAACGCCCAACAGACCTACTTCCAGTTAAACACTCAGAAGTTATCACAGTTGAACAAGGAGACACATTCCAGAATGTTCACTGGGCCATGGTTTATAACAGTGAAAAACTGGAAACTGCCTAAATGTGGTAGATTTACACAATAGGACACCATCCAGCAATCCAAATAAACGAACTAGAGTTACATGTATTAACATGGAAAAAAAATCTCTAAAACACTATCCATTCCGTTTTTACAAAAAGTAACTTGGTGCCATGGAGCAAATCTCAACAGATTTCAAAAAATTTAAATAAAGCAGAAAATGCTCAGAGACCACAATACAATTAACGTAAAAATAAGTAACAGTTTCCTACTGGGGTGATGAAAATGTTCCGGAACTACATGGTGGTGATGGTCATTCGACATTGTAAGCGTACTAAATTCCACTGAGTTGTACACTTTAAGATGATCAAAATGGTAAAATTTTATCGCAATTAAAAAAAATCGTGCCGGGCTTGGTGGCTCAGCCTGTAATCCCAGCACTTTGGGAGGCCAAGGTGAGTGGATTACCTGAGCCCATGGGTTCGAGACCCACCCGGGCAACTTGGCAAGACCTCGTCTCTACAATAAATCAAAAATTAGCTGGGTGTGATAGCACGCGCTTGTAGTTCTGGTTACTTGGAAGGCTGAAGCGGAAGGATCGCCAGAGCCCAGCAGGTCGAGGCTGTGGTAGCCAGGAGCATGCCACTGCACCCCAGTCTGGGCAACAGAGTGAGACTCCAACTCAAAAAAAAAAAAGAATCATAACAAAAAATGCCTAAGTAAACTCCATGGTAATAAAAGAATACTCTTCTAACTAACTGGTAAAGTCAAAGGAAAAAGCACAATGAAACTCAGAAAACCAAGAAACAGTGAAAATATGACATATCAAACTTGTAAAGTGAAACCCACACTTAGAGAGAAATGTATACTGTTAAATTCATTTATTAGAAAAAAAAGAGCCGGGCTCAGTGGCTCAGCCTGTAATCCAGTGCCTTTGGGAGGCTGAGGTGAGTAGATTGCCTGACCCCGCGGGTTCGAGACCCGCCTGGGCAGCGAGACCTCATCGCTACAATAAATCCAAAAAAATCAGCCGGGCATGATAGCGCATGCCTGTAATTCTGGCTACTTGGAAGACTGAGGTGGAAGGATTGCCGGAGCCCAGCAGGTCGAGGCTGCGGTGGCCGGGAGTGGCCACTGCACTCCAGTCTGGGTGACAGAGTGAGACTCCAACTCAAAAAAAAAAAAAAAAAGGAGCTGAGCTCGGTGGCTCAGCCTGTAATCTCGCGCTTTAGGAGGCTGAAGTGAGTGGATTGCCTGAGCCCATGGGTTCGAGACCCGCCTGGGCAACTTGGTGAGACCTCATCTCCACAATAAATCAAAAAATGAGCCGGGTGTGGTAGCACGCGCCTGTAGTTCCAGCTACTTGGAAGGCTGAAGTGGAAGGATTGCCGTAGCCCAGCAGGTCAAGGCTGTGGTGGCCGGGGGCGGCCGCTGCACTCCAATCTGGGCGACTGAGTGAGACTCCAACTCCAAAAGAAAGAAAAAAAGACTGAAAAAAATCAACAAACATTCATCCCAGGAATCTGGAAAAACAGCAGCAAATTGAATCCACAAAAAAGAAGGAAACAGCCGGACTCGGTGGCTCAACCTGTAATCCCGCGCCTTTGGGAGGCTGAGGTGAGTGGATTGCTTGAGCCCGCGGGTTCAAGACCCACCTGGGCAGGTGAGACCTCATCTCTACAATAAATCAAAAAATCAGCTGGGTGTGGTAGCGCATGTCTGTAATTCCGGCTACTTGGAAGGCTGAGTCGGAAGGATCGCCGGAGCCCAGCAGGTCGAGGCTGCGGTGGCTGGGAGCGGCCACTGTACTCCAGTCTGGGCAACAGAGTGAGACTCCAACTCAAAAAAAAAAAAAAAGAAGGAAACAATAAACTATCAGCAAAATTTTGAAAATAATATTGAATGTCAATCAAGCCAAAAGTTGGTTCTCTAGAATGACTAATTAATAGACTGAGGGTTTCATTGAGGAAAAAAACCCTGCAAATTATCACATCAGGAATAAAAGAGGGACACCACTACACTATTACTGACAAAAATACATACCATGAACCTAACAGAGAAACTATCGGACTAGTCTAGATGAGAGACAGTCTACAAAGCCACCAGCCTGAACACTTCAAAAATGCAAGTGTCATGAAAAATTTCAGTCTGAGGAACTGTCCTAGAGGGAAGAAGATAGGTGACTTCTCAACTAAATGCAACTCAAGATCCTGGTCCCTAAAATTGCTGTCACAGATGCTGCAACAGCTGTGAATGGGGTTTGGAGATGAGACAGTTGACTGGAGTCACATTTCCCACCTTAGTAACTGTCCCATTGTGATGTACTACATCCTTGTTCTTAGGAAACAGACACTGCAAGAATGCAGGTGCCAACAGTAATGTTTTTCTGCAACTACTCCAACAGCTCACATTCACATGAAGAGTTCAGAATTCAGTTCTAAGCTAGGAGCTTCGACTAACACTACCAAAGCTAAGGATCTGTGCCTTGTCTCTCTCTCAATGGAGAAGAACAGATTCCGGACCCATGATTGCTCCTTGAAGCACCTGAGTGCACATACCAGCCCTTGGCTCAGAGACTCAGGTATTTCCTCCGAAATGGAGGACGACATGGCTTCCAAGACCTTCTCCATGGTCCAGAGGCTGTGAGGCTCTTCCCGGCTGTCCGAGCAAGGCCCAGGCGGGTCAGTCGGATGCCACTTGGAAACGCGGGCCTATTCCCTGGCTTGACTCCACCGCGCCCAGCCCTTTGCCCTGGTGGGAGCAGTGTGGCTCAAGCTGGTGACCTTTGGCCCTTCAAAGCCCAGATGCTTCTCAGCAGGTGGGCCCGTGGTCCTCTGGTCCTGAACACCAAGCCATGCAGGGCCAGAGGGCTGAGGAGGAAGTTGGGTCCCAGCCTGGCTGTCCCTGCCCAGGACTAAGGCTCAGTTTGGATTCTCTTCCCCCATCCCCCACCTCCTAGAGGAAGCTTCCAAAGACAACTTCAGCCTTGTGCTGGCCCCCGACCCCTCATCTGGGCCAGGAGCCAGTGCAACCTAGCCAGAGGGGCCATGGAGCCCTCTGAACAGGCCCTCCTTGCTGCTCCTGAGCTCACAGGGACCCCGCCTGGGCTCAGCGACTCAGGAAGTGATAGAGCTTCACGTTCTCTCGTGGGAAGGGCCAAATTTGGCTACCCTGAATCCTGCTCTACTTGCTGTCAAGGTCAGGGCAGGGACAGAGGCAGAACCTGGAGACCCAGAGAGGGGAAGCCAGAAGCCAAAATGCTGCGGGTGCTTACCTGGAACCAAGAGGAAGGCACAGATACCCACACTTCTGCAAGCTGCCCAGGCCACGGCCTGACCTCCAGAGCATGAAGGGACGTGTCCCCAAGAGCCACAGGTGTGCCTCATTGACAGGGAAGACATCACCTGTCAGTCTGACACCCTGCCCCACCGTGGGCGCCCACCCCAGACAGTGGGGGGAGATTAGGACCTCAATTCGCAGGAGGAAGCTTGCCCCTGCTCTCCCAGGCCCTGACCATGGTTCTCCCCCCACCCTGTTCACCCCAGGCCGAGTGCTGTCCTGCAGCCCCACCTGCCCACCCCCAGTAGCAGCCAGTGCAGTGCCCACGCCAGCCTCCGGGGGCCCTTTATCCTGTCTGCAGTGTGCAGGGGCACTGCCCACCAGGCTTGTGCAGTGGTGGCTCCAGGCTGTGCCCTTCGGTTGTGTGGCACCAGTACCTAACAGAAATCCACAGCGCTGGCTCTGGATGATGGCACCCAAAGGATCCCCTGTGTTCCTCCCCCTTCCCTGCAGAGGCCTCCCAGCAATGACAGCTCAGCTCCCCAGCTTCCTGCCCTGCAGAGGGCTGTCCCCAGCTCCTTTGAAATCTTTCTCTGCTGTTTTCGCTTCCAGCTGCTTCACTCGAAACATTGACCGAAAGGGTTAAAAGTTTGGGTCCTGGCTTCCCCCCTCGCCAGAGCACCAGGACCTGGGTGAGCCCCCACCTCCCACTAGCTGGTCCTGAGCTGGCCACTGGAGCATCCAGTTAAGCACAAAAAGCTGCTGTTCCAGTATCCATGTCCTCCCACCTGGGTTTCGGGGCCTCTACAGCTTTGCTCCCCCTATGCAATCTGCTGACCTCCTGCTTGGCAGCTGGGCCTGCCTAGAAAACCCCTTTAGCCTGGAAGCCTGGCCCACCCTCTGTGCTCATGGGTTACTCCCAGACACTCCCTGAGACTGGCTGGACCCAGCAGCTCATATTCCTCGGAATCCTTCACGGGACAGCCAACCCCCAGTGGACAGCAGAGCTCTGTGCAGACTAGAGACCACCTTCCTAGCAGCACCCCAGAGAGGGGAGGACACACAGGGTCGGGGGCAGGCGTGCTTTATTGACCACAGTCAGTGCCCATGCTCAACAGTGCCCATGCCCATTCCCCCACAGCAGGAAGCACAGCACCCACCTGCACTCGTTACACTTGACAAAGACGCTAACAGGGCTCAGCTGTTCCTCACAGCCTGCCCAAGACTGGGAGCCTGGGCCTGACCACACTGTTTCCGCCACTTGGAGGCCTGGTCATTCTGGTCCCACTCCCTCCTCCCCCTAGGCCTGACCTCCGACCCCAGAGAACAGAGCCGATTCCGCCAAGGGCATGCCCACCTGGGTCTTCATGCCAAGCACCAGGGCCCACAAGAGCAGAAGTGGGGTGCTCCAGAGTGTCACTTAGTCCCCCGGCCCGCCTGCAGGAGGCTGTAGCCACTCAGATGAAGAAAATAAGGCACAGTCATGAAGGGAAAGCAAAGCCAAGAGACTGAGCTGAAGATGGTCCGTCCGCTCGCCTTTCCTCTCTCCCTGAGGCTTACTCCCACAAGTCTGATCCAGGGAGGCAGCAGTGAGAGGTGGCAGGGAGCCCCTCTAGGCAGTCCAGGGGATGAGGGCCAGGAGGGGCCTGGTATGAGGAGGCGCAGGCCCTGCCCACCCACCTAGCCAGCCCCTGATAGGAGTCAAGGTGAAGGCCACATTCTCCTGCCACTTTCCACAGTCCCTGGGTCAGCGCGGCCCCTAGGCTGAGGCGGGTGCTGGTCAGCCCTGCAGGGGGCTCAGCTCCGGTAGCTCCTGAGCAGGTGTGCGGCGATCACCAGCCTCTGGATCTCACTGGTGCCTTCGTAGATCTCGGTGATGCGAGCATCGCGGTAGTGCCGCTCAGCTGGCATCTCTGTCACATAGCCCATGCCGCCCAGGATCTGGATGGCCTAAGACAGGAAGCAAGGGCTCAGAAGGGAGAGGACCCCCATGCATAGGGAAAGACAGGGTGGAATCAGCCACACACAGGGCAGCTGGGGGAGACAGGGTCTCTCACCACGAACACTCACCTGGTGGCTGATGGCAGTCGCAGCCTCTGATGCAGCCAGCTTAGCCATGGCTGCCTCCTAACCACAAGGGAGACAGAGTCAGGGCCTTCCTCTCAAGGGCAGCCCCCAGCTCATGGCCCCTAAGTACGGGCAGCCTGTGGGAAACTCCCAGTGGAGCAAGAAACCCACAGGGCCTGGGGAGCCAGGACCTGCCCCGACCTCTCCCCGGGTCCCTGAGCCCACCAAGCTCTGGGTCGTGCCTTGGGAGACCCCTTCCCCACAGCCACCTTGATGAAAGGCTTCTTGTTGTCCTTCAACATGGCAGCACGCCAGGTCAGCAGTCGGGCACTCTCCAGGGCCAGGGCCATGTCTGCCAGCTTGAACTGCAACACAGGTCAGCAGTCATCCCTCCTCCCTCTCATCCTTGGGGGGGAGGGGAGGAGGACGGGGAGCAGGTTAGAGGCCAGGCTTCCCACCCCAAGCATCCAGACCCAGCTCCTGATGCCCATTACCTGGATGCCCTGGAGCTTGGTGAGAGGCGCCCCAAAAGCCATGCGATTCTCAGCGTAGTTCACAGCACAGTCGAGGGCAGCCTGGGCGATGCCCAAGGCCTGGGCGGCGATGCCAATGCGGCCCATGTCCAGGGTTTGCTGTGGGGACCGCCCTGTTAGCGGCTGTCTGGCTGGGCCCAGGGCCTGGCCCCAGGGTGCTGCCCCCACTTCCAGCTCACCATGGCTATCTTGAAGCCCATCCCCAGCTCCCCCAGCATGCTGTCCCTGGGGATGCGGCAGTCTTCAAAGATGAGGTTGGCCGTGGACGAAGCCCGAATGCCCAGCTTGTCTTCCTTCTTCCCTAACGTGAGCCCAGGCGTCGGCATGGGGACCAGGAAGGCGCTGATGCCCTGTGAAAGGCACAGACTGGCCAAGGGATTTTCTCAGAGGCCAGCACACCCAACATCAATGCCTGCCCCTTCTCCCACTTCCCTCAAAAGTCCGGGCCCTGACACCCTCTGCTGGCTTCTGGGGGAGGTGCGTGTTTCAGCTGCAGGTCAGGGAGGCAGGGACAGCCCTAGCAGGGCCGAGGAGAGAAGGACCTAGAAATCATGAAATGACTGCATCCTAGAGGTCTGGCTGATCCCACTTGAGTCCCCACCTTGTTCTGCAGGGCTCTGTCCGTGCTGGCAAAGACCACGGCAGCTGAGGCCTCCCAGGAATTGGTGATCCAGGCTTTGGTGCCATTCAGGACCCATGAGTCACCCTCGGCCCGGGCAGTGGTAGAAGCAGCTCCCGCATCGCTGCCGTTCCCTGCCCACACACACAATCAAGGTCCAGCCCAGCCCTGCCTGCCCAATGGCACTGCTACCAACTCACCAAGGCACCGGACTCACCCCCAGCTGGTAAGCACGAAGCCCTGTGACTCAGACTCCAAAGATGCAGAGTCTGCCCCTGCGAGAAAGCCTCAGGGCCAGCCAGCTCCCAGAGCTCTCCATGACTGGTCCAAGATGGAAAGGGGGCATGAAGGAGCTGGGCACCTTCAGCCAAGGGACCCCAAGGCCAACCCTCCTCCCAGCTCAGCTGAGGCAAGAGTGCACTCCTGGGCAGACAGCAGCAGCCAGAGCTCAGCCCCCCCGCCCAGACCAGAAGCGTCTCCTCCAGCCTCTGGAGATAGGCCTAGGCTCCTGCCTGTCCCACTGGGGCAACCCAGCTCTGGTCCGGGTCTGCCACCCCGTTTCTGAGATGAGGAGATGGAAGAAGGCCCTTGCCCCACCGTGGTACCTGGCTCACTGAGGGCAAAGCAGCCAATTTTGTCGCCACTGGTGAACGGAGTGATCCACTGCTGCTTCTGCTCCTTGGAGCCAAACTTCAGGATGGGCCCCAAGTAGAGAGACTGGGGAACAGTCAGAGGCCATCAGGACAAGGCACGCCCTCCCTGCCCAAGGGCCACACCCAGGGCCCATTCTCTCCTGGGGCCTGCTCAGGAGGACCAAGTCCAGTGGCGATTCCTGGGAACCCGGGGCTGGGAGCCAGGGCCTGGCTGTGCCCAGGAGCCTCCCCACCCCTGCGGCCTGGGAGAGCGACTCACGTTGTTGACACTCATGATGACGCCGGTGGAGGCACAGCCCCGGCTGACCTCCTCCACGGCGAGGGCATAGGCCAGGTAGTCGAGGCCGGCACCGCTCAGCTCCTCGGGCACGTCCATGGCCAGAAGCCCAAGCTCGCCCATCTTCTTTACCTGGCCCCAGGGGAGGACATCATGGCAAGGGCTGCTTCTGGGGGTGGGGCCCACCCTC